CATGTCTCTAGTTCCAGCTACTCTGGAGGCTGAGGCAGGAGGATTTCTTGAGTCCAGGAATTTGAGGTTGCAGTGAGCTATGATGATGCCACTTCATTCTAAGCTGGACAACAGACCCTGTGTCAAAAAAGAAAGTCTATACTTATTTCTTTGAGGAATCTCTGTACTGTTTTCCATAGAGGTTGTACTAATTTGCAGTCCCACCAACAGTGTGTAAGTGTTCCTTTTTCTATATATCCATGCCAGCATCTATTGTTTTTTAACTTTTAATAATGGACATTCTGACAGGGATAAGGTAGTATCTCATTGTGGTTTTAATTTGCATTTCCCTGATCATTAAGAATGTACATTTTTTCATGTTTCTTGGCAATTTGTCTATCTTCTTTTGAAAACCTTTTGTTCATATCTTTTGGCTATCTTTTAATGGGGTACCTATTTACCTCAAACGAAGAAGATTATGTTTTGTTTAAAGATATCTACCTGCACTCAAATGCTTACTGCAGCACACAATTCACAATTGCAAAGATGTAGAATCAGACTAAACGCATAATAATTCATTGAGTGGTGGTTAGAAAGATGGTATATAGTATGGATAATATATATATTATCTATAGTACATACACACATAATATTTATCCATCACAGATCTGATCAATCCACACAAATGCACAACCACGTGTTTTGTGCTTTTTGTTTTGAGCACACACCATTGGAGTAACTACGTATGCCTATTAAAAGGAATGAAATGCTCTGCAGCACATGATGATACGTGGAGAATTATCTAAGCAGCGTATTCCATGAATAGTAAAACAAACACATGTGCTGTCTAATAATTTGGGAATAAAACAATGGCACATAGCCAAATGATATACTAATCATGGACATCAAGATTGAGGGAGGGGATTGAAGGGGTAAGTAACTTACTCTATGGGTTAAATGAAATACTATTCTAATGAGCACACTAAAAGCAACTTCAACATTATATCAAGGTATCAATTATAAAACATATTGTACTTAATATTTTGAGATAAAAAAGAAGCAACAATAAAATGTAAGAGAAAGAAAATAAACATGAGTTCAAAAGGAACAGAAACTATTCCTTAAACAATTGTCTTAATAAGTTAACCAAAATTCAGTCTCTACATGTCCATGAGGAAAAAAAGACAATTCTCATATTTCATAGCATTATGTTTAGCACATATATTTCAAAATATTTATGGTATTTTTTATTTTAAAGTTATTTTGTAAATTGGAATATTGTATTAGATGATACAATACTATAGCATGAAGGCCCTCTGGCAAGCTTTGGTGTGACTGCTATGAATTGGATTTATCTGGACAATTTCTAATCCGTGTGTGGATAATACCACTGACTTCAATTTATTTAAAAGAGCTCAGGCAAAAGTTACCAATGCCAAGAGACAATTAATTAATTCAATTAAGAGTGACATGTAGAAAAAATAAAATTGATATTAGAGAATATAATTAGGAAATTTGAGAACTTAACACATTTGAAATGAAAAGTGAGAACCTCTGTTATTACCCTTCTCAGTAACCGATTAATATTATTCTTGTTGCTATGACTGTTGCAAATAATTACCATTACATAAATTGTGTGAGAAATAGTTAGAGACATTATTTTTATTATTTGGTCTTGAATTAAAAATAGTAGACTATATTTGTAGAAATCGGCGTTACACATATAGTGCAATGTTGATTAAAACAGCACTTTTCTTATATCTATTAATGCTTGTCCATCATAATCGTGTCCTTAATCTATTTAATATTGTTACATTGTCACTTGTCATATACAGTTATGTATTTTTTTCTTTTACTTTTAGAGATCCTGTCCTGAATATTATTATTAAAATAGAGACCTGACTGCCAGACTATTAATTAAAATATCAAGAAAAAAGTTACCCTCCTGGAACTATCTACAAACCATGTGCTTAGCAGAGTTCAGGTATAAGGCTCAATATATTCTGAGTTCAAGTATCACTTATTTTTTTGCCAGAATGAATTTTATATTCAAGGTGAAAAGAAACTTACAGGAATAACCAATCTGAACAATACTACCAAAGTTAATGTTATGGGAGAACTAGGAGTTATCGGTCTATTAAAACATAAACATGAAAGATTATTGTAATTGATCAATTAAAGTTAATGCCAGGCCGGCACGGTGGTTTTCACTGCTATAATCCTACACCTGGGTGGCCAGGAGGGGTGAACTCTGTTTGAGCTCTAGGATTTTGAGACCAGCCTGGAGCAGAGTCGAGACCCCTCTCTACTAAAAATAGAAAAAAATATTGCCAACTAAATATAATATAGAAAAAATTAGCCAGGGCACGTGGCACAACCTGTAGTCCCAGCTACCCGTAGGAGCGAGGCAGAGGAGTGCTTGAGCCTAGGACTTTGAAGGTTGCCCGACCTAGTTTGTGCCATGGACTCTACCAAGGCAAAGATGCAGACTTTTCTCAAAAAAATAAATAAATAAAAAATAATATTAAAAAAAAAAGTTAATGCTAGTAAGTTTCTGCATTTTTCAAAGCCCAAGGTAAATAAATTAATATTTATTTTAATCCATTATATATGGATGAAATTGTATTATACAATTCTAAGAAGTATCTCAGTAATCATAGAACTGTTTTCTTTTTATATTTTTGATAGATTTCTGTTGGCTTTGTGTTTATTTAAAAAGCATCCACTTTCTTTGTTCTCTTGATCTTCATGAATAATAAAGATCTTAATAAACAGATCCCTTCTGATTTTATTGAAAAATGCATATACTTTTATGCCATTGCTGAGCTATGTCAAAATTAAGTTCCAAAATTCATAAACATTACAGTGAGAAATATTTTTCTAAGAGCATTTTGTTTTTAAATGTTTTAATAGTAAACCATTTGTGATGTCTCAGAAGAGGTAGATAGAAAATTTACTTTTAAATTTTAAAATTAGACCCATGTATAACTGCAGTAAAAATAGAAATTAAATTTGAAAATCAAAAAGATTAATGAAGCCATAGAAACTTTAAGCTAACAATCAGAAATACACTCTCCCATCTGCAGCATATGAGAAACAAATGTTTCTGTTTTTCTTGGAACCAACTTGACTTCCTTGTAAACTTACTGTGTGATATATTGTTTTATTTTCTAGTTCAGGCATTTTGACATTTGACAGAGTGCTACTAGTTGAGAGGGTTTGCAGTACATTTGAGGTTATATGGGGAGGAAAAAGAAAAAAAAAGTTTTAAAGCTAACTATATGTTAAAAGATGAAATAAAATATATTCATCCTAAAATTCCTAAACAAGTCAAAAGTCTTATCCTATTACTTATTTATGTACAATATCATATTCAAGGAGATATGAATTCTGGAGAATGCAAAGAGTGTGTGCATTTAATTCAAAAATCAAGTTAGGCAACTTAATTTTTAGTATATAAGTTTAGTGTTTTCCCTAGTCATAATTTGGTCCATGTAAGCTTGAAATTTTTAATAATATTAAAAACATAACAGAGGACAGAATATAAAATAAATGCCCATTTCTAACTATTGAATTCTGAGCTGTATCTCCTTCTAGATTCTTTCTCTTCTCCTAAATATAAATTTAGATACACATGTAATTATTGGCATAGTATTGTATGTTAACAGTGAATAGAATAAAAAGCCATATGTCTGTTTATCTTTATGAGGTTATTTTTGTTCAGCAAAACGAGTGCTTTCCAATGTCCTTATTTTCTCTTTTTGTTTTTGGCCTCTTAGCATCTTTCTGTTATTTATTTATTATTATTATTTTTTTGCCCATATTATTCCTAAGGAGGATAGGCAGCACAACTGAACACAAAAGTCATGCATAACATATCAGGGCTGCAGGATATCACAAATATTTGTAGCTTACTCTAGGTTTGCTTTGGACCCTAGAAGAGCAATTGGTCGTGATGTTTTGATAGCTGTAGATGAGGCAAGGTAACTGATGTCTGAAAGGAATAAGTGCAAGGAACAAGAGCAAAAGATGGAAAATGTAATGCCTTGATGGGAAGGATGAGTATATCAGCTTTTCTCCTATTTTTCATTGGGAATTCATTGTAATTATGAACTTTTTTCTTTATTCAAATATTAGTGACTTTGTGTAATTCATACAGTACTAGGATATACAGACTTGAGTAACTTTTGACAAATAAGGTGATCTTCTCTCCTACTAATTTTTAAATAGGTTTTATTACTTATATTTAAGGTATACAATATGATGTTATGAAATACATATGACTGGTAAAATGGTTACCATGGTGAAACAAGTTTTAACATCCATTACCACACATAGTTATTCATTTGTGTATGTGTGTGTGTGTGTGTGTGTGTGTGTGTGTGTGTGTGTGGCAAAAGCAGCTAAAATCTAGTCATTTAGCAAAAATCCCAAATACAATATGATATTATTAACTATAGTTCTCATGTTGTACATTATATCACTAGACTTGTTCATCCTAAATATCTTCTACTTTGTATCCTCTGACCTACATCTACTCATTTCCTCCTCACCCCACCCACAGCCCCTGGTTTTATAATCACGGTTTTATTCTTTATTTTTTTTTTAGATTACATTATAAATGAGATCATGCAATATTTTTATTTTTGTCTCTGCCTTATTTCACTTAGCATAATGTCCTCCAGGTTCATCAAAGTTGTGGCAAATGAGTGAATCTCCTTTTTTAAGGCTTAATAATATTACATTATATTCTTTATCCAGTTTCTTTATCTATTTGTGCATGTTCGTTGCGTCTTCATTCGCAATGGCCAAGACATGGAACAATCCCATTACTTTCGGATAGATATCTATGAGATGAGTTGAATTACTTACTGTCCTATCAATAAGTCGAGTAAATCAAATCAGACCACAAATCCAAATACACACTGTGACCAGTTTGCGGTATGAATAACATATTGTAGGAAATTATGTAAATTCATTCTCTCTCTCTCTCTCTCTCTCTCTCTCTCTCTCTCTCTCAGATTTCTGAACCAGTTACGAATTTTACTGGCTGCATAGAAGTTACAGAATTCAATAACTGGGGATCTTTCATTCCATCCAAGGCAGTGAAAAAAAACCACATTGGCAATTGCAGGTAAAATATCACTAGTGATTTTTCAAATCATTTGTTCAAGTAACCACACCAAAATGTATCATTTCCTTTTTTATTTTTCTCACAGAGTTCCAACTCAAATATTTGTGTCTTGGGATCTGAAATGAATCTCTTGTAGGAAGGATATAGTTGGATCGTGTATTTTATCCATTCTGCAAGTCTTTGTCTTTTGACTGAAGAGTATAATCCATTTTCATTTAAAGTAATTACTGATAAGGAGGGACTTTTATTACTTTGCTATTTGTTTTCTACATGCCTTATAGTTTTATTCTTCTCACATTTTATGTATTAAAGTACTTTGGTGTTTAGCTTATCTTTCATAGTAAAATATTTAAATTTCTTTCTCATATCCTTTCATATATAGCTATTTTCCTTGTAGTTACCATAGGGATTACACTCAATTGCTTAAAGTTATAATACTCTTTGTTACCAAGAGCTTGGCACTTGTCCTGGAGGTTGCGTCAGAAAAATGAGGACTGGTGGTTTGAGGAGAAAGAAAGAGAAGTTTATTAATTTGCCAGCAAATGAGGAGGTTGGTAGACTTCCTTCTTAAAGTACCAACATCATGCCTCTGAGCAGGAATACAGAGCTTTTAAAGGGGAGGTTTTCAGCTTCAGGCAATTGCTGTTCAACTATAGTTGATGGTTCTGATTCATCTCATCTTTGACCAAGACAATCTTGTGACCTCCACCTGGACAATTCCCTTGAGCCATCTTCTGTGGTACAAAGAACAAAGGACACCTCCCTGCCCCTCCCAACCACTGGCCTGGGACAGGGATGCAGGTTTGCATTTCCAAAAGGAGTAAGGGAGGTTTTAGAGAGACAGAGAACATTTTTACCCATTTTAAGGCCATTCCCCATGTTCCAACTTGGGTTTATACCAATTTAACTTCAATTAATATAAAAACGTCTATTCCTCTAACAGTTCTGTCCCCACAACTTTTGACTTTTGGTTGCCAATGTCAAAAAATTACATCTTTATCCATTGTGTATAAAAACATAAACTAATAATTTTGAAATGATCAGCCTCTTAAATCATGTGGAAACCAAAATGTGAAGTTATAACCCAAAGTTATATTATGGCTAGCTTTTACATTAATAATACTTAAAATATATCAGCCTCTTAAATCATGTAGAAAACAAAAAGTATAGTTATAAGCCATGTTACAAAATTAGCTTTTATAATTACCTATGTATTTACCCTTATTGATATTTTTATTTCTTCATATATTACCCAGGGTCCTTTCATTTGAACCTGCAGGATTACCTTGAGCATTTTTTTCAGGATGGGTCTAGTGATAACAAACTCCCTTAGCTTTTCTTTATCAGGGAATGTCATAATTTTTCTCTAAGTTTTCAAGGACTATTTTGTAAGATATAGGATTTTGGTGTACAGGGTTTTTCTTTTAGTATTTTGAATATTGTGACCTATTGCCTTCAGGCCTCTAAAATTGCTAATTAAAAATCTTCTGGGAGGGGAGATAAGATGGCTGACTATGGACATCAGCCACCAGATCTTCTCAGAAAAAAGAAAAGTTTTAGATCAAAAAAGAATAGCCCAGGTGTATGTTCTGAAGGAAAAGTGCTAGAATCTACCAGAGGTTCCATGGAAAGAAGTTGCAGAGCAGGACAAGAAGGAGCAAGATTTGCAAAGATCAACCCCTAAGAAATTTGGAGCCCCCTTAAAAAGGGTAGGTGAGGGTAGTTGTTTTACCTTCCCTCACACTCCTGGCAAACTCCAGGCTCTTGGACTGTTGGAGAGCTTCTGTACCCTCAGGAGCCTCAAAGCTGCTGTTGCAGTAAACTATAGCTTCTTCAGAACAAAGCACCAGGCTGCCAGCCCCCTCAGAGTTGCTACCCCTCACCACTGAGGCAGCAGGCACCATACTGCTTTTCCACCCATTGTGTGCCTTTGTCCTCCCCAGGGAGCTTCACCCTTCAGTTTTCTTGTCAGTGGTGCCCATACAAACATTATTATTATTATTTTGAGATATATTCCTTCTATGCCTAGTTCCCAACACTTATCCAGATAGCAGTGGCCACAGGGGGCCAGTGGTTGGTAAGGGAACTGTGTAATCCCAGAGCTTGGACATTCAGGGCAGGCTGCCCTCAGGGGAGAGGAAAGTGTCTCAAGCCAAAGAGGGCTCCTCAAGACAAAGGTAACAAGAGTGCCAGATTTCTTCCATTCAGACTCTTCTCTTCCTTTTCATCTCCCCCACCCACAGTTGCTGACACAGCCATGGCATTTCCCATGTGAGTCAGCACAGGTGCCCCAAGTAACAGTTGAACTGGGGCTCTCAGAAGAGACTGCTTCCCCTCTATGGGTGCACCCACCACACCCAGGTTTCCACAGAAAGTGATGTTCATGTCTTTCCTCTTAAAGACCTGTAGTCAACCAAGGAGTGCACAGACAATGAGCTCCCTGCCCATTGGCCCACTCCAGTGCTGCCCACCTGGCTATTTCAGCAAAGCAGGGCACAACTCAAAGTGGAAGAACATTAAACCTGTCTAGGCACTCCATGGGCTATTCAGGACACTCCTCCCTGGCACACTCAGGTGTTGAACTTGAGAGATCAGAGGATATGCCTGCAGTCCAGCTCTTATATCTGCAAGACTTGATTGTGTTGCTTGTAAGCACAGAGAAGAGAATTGTGAACTAATCTTGGGAGGTGAGGGAGCCCATGTGAGCAGAACTAAAAGGAGAGTGTGGTGTGACTCTGAGCTGCAGCACACTTGTGGAGCATCCCTCTCCCCACAGAAAAGCCATGCTTTTGTTCTGAGGCAGGATCCTGGGCAGGGAAACTCTAGCCTGCAGCACCATTGCTGATGAGCTCACCTAGTTTGGGATGCTGCTTATGGCCAGACATCCAAAGGAGATGCATGGGACAAGGGAAGAGGGAAAAGAATTAAACCCACTCCTGAAATCTGGTCTGTAAATCACAGATGGTCCCTTTCCCACAAGCAGACTTTTTGGTTTGGTGGAGCCAGTTCAGTCCCTCAGTTGTGGCTTTCCCTAACAGACTAGGATCTGATCCTTGGTCCCTGATGAGACAGCTCTTGTGCATACCTCTGTAGAGCCTGAAACCAGACTCATTCAACTCAGCCCCAGCCAGCATCACTCTTCTACACATCTCTGCTGTGCTGAGAATAATGAGTACCCTGGGATCTCCAGGGCCCTACCCACCACCTGGGACATCCAATTGCTTCTCCTGATCAACCAGAGCCAGTTACAGGTCCCAAAACCATCACTTTAGCTTGCTCCTTCTGGCAGATGCCATATACTGGCAGGGAGGAAAATTTATATACAGCCTATTACAGCATTTACTGACTCAATCATATAGGGTGTTGCTGATTCTTACCCACAGGCACCACCTACTGACTTAGAAATCAAACTGGACTCCATCTTCTGTCTCTTAAACAGAACAATTGCCAGCCTGAAATTTTGTATTCTGCAAAACTAAGTTTTATATATGAAGGAGAAATAAAGACTTTTCCAGACAAGCAAACACTAAGAGGATTTGTCACCAAAATGCCAAGCTAAATATAATATAGAAAAATAGCCAGGCACGTGGCACAACCTGTATCCCAGCACCCGTAGGAGCGAGCATGAGTTGAGCCTAGGACTTTAGTTGCCCTGACGTAGTTTGAATGCCATGACTTCTAGCCATAGGCAAAGAGTGCAGATCTTTGTCTCAAAAAATAAATAAATAAAAAATAACTATTAAAAAAAAAAAGTTAATGCTAGTAAGTTTCTGCATTTTTCAAGCCAAGGTAAATAAATTATATTATTAATCCATTATATATTGTGATGAATGTATTATTAGAAGTTCATACAAGTAATGCTTCATAATCATAGATACTGTTTTCTTTTACATTTTTGATAGCTTACTTTGGCTTTGTGTTTATTTTTTATAAAGCACCACTTCTTTGTATACTCTGATCAGTTTTTCATTGATAATAAGATCTTAATAAACAGATCCTTTCTGATTTATGAAAAATCATGATCTTTTATCCATTGCAGAGCAATGTCAAATATTAAGTCCTAAAATTCATCAACATTACAGTTAGAACATTTTCTAAGAGCATTTTGTCTTTAAAATCGTTTATAGTAATATAATTGTCGTCTAGAAGACGGTAGACAGAAAATTTACTTTAATTCATTTATGCCCATGTTATTAACGCAGTAAAATATAGATTAAATTTGAAATCAAAAGATTCAATGAACCATAGAAACACTTTAAGCTAACAATCAGAAATACATTCCATCTGCAGCATATGAAACAATGTTTTGTTTCTTGAACCACTTGTTCTTGTATCTTACTTGTGTGATATATTGTTCTTATTTCTAGTCTCAAGGCATTGACATTTGACAAAGGAGTTTTGCCCCCCTCTAAACTAGTTATGAAGGTTTGCCAGTACATTTGAGGTTAATCTGGGGATGGAAAATAGACAAAAAAAAGTTTTAAGCTAAATATGCCAATAATGAAATTAAAAACTCTTCATAAAATTCTAACAATCAAAGGTTTATTCTATTACTTTATTTACGGTAATATATTATTCAAGAGATAATATTCTGGGAACTGCAATATGTGCATATAACAAAATAAGTTAGGCAACTTAATTTAATATCAATATTTGTTTCCCTAGTTGTAATTGTCATTAAACTTGAATTTTTAATAAATTAAAAACATAAAAAGACAGAATAGTAAAAAAACTCATTTCTAAATATTGATTTTCTGAGTTCTATATCTTAATCCTTCTAGATTCTTCCTCCTCCTAAATATAAATTTTATGATTACACAGTGTAATGTATTGGCATAGTAAGTATTGTTCATGTAACAGTGAATAAACAGCAATCCATGCGTTACTTTATGAGGTTTTATTATTGTTCAGCAAACGAGTGCTTCAATGTCTTATTTTCCTTTTGTTCTTGCTTTAGCATCTTCTGTTATTTATTTATTATTATCTATTTTTCTTTGCCC